GTTCCGGGCGTGTGCGGGTTATTAGAGAAATCCGGAGGGGGCCGGAAAAGAGCGACCCGGGGGGTTGTGGGTGGCGGGCCGGCGGCGGTGGCGGGGGGCGCCGCCACAGGGTCATCTGCCTGAGATCTCCTCTCCAGATGATCATGGTTCCTTCCTCCCCGTTTCACCGGGCTAGAAAACGTGTTTTAGTGGTGAGTATTTTAGTTTTCCGCCACCGGCAGCACCACTACATGGCCACGGCCACGTCGTTTTGCGTGGTTGCGAGGCGTATGGTAACAAATAATGACTGCCCTCACGCTGCTCTATAGCCTTTCCCTGCTACGCCGCAAAGGTGTGCGTGTGTGTGTTTTTTGTGTGTGAAGGTGTGTGTAGGCGTGTGTGTGCGGGGAGAGTGAGTCTCTCTGTGAGCGAGCGCCTCTCTAAGGCATGCGCCACATGTACGCGCGCCCCCCGCCTGATCCCTCTGCTGCCCCGCGCCGCACCGCGGGCAGGTGGGCCTCCTGCGGAGTGCTTAATCTTCTTAACGGCTCTGGGCCTCAGCAAGCCCGCCGGCCCTCTCCCCTACGCGCCGTGTAGCCCCGCTGCTGTGCCCTGCGGCCTGCGGCCTCTCGTGGCTGCTGACCCGCCTGGCAGCGCCTGGCAGCTGAGGCCCTGCCCGCCCGCCCGGAGGAGGCAGCCCGTGTCGTAAAGGGACACATGTCACAAGTCCACTCGGCGGCGGAGGGGCAGTCGACGTCGTGTCGGGGCGGGGCGCTGCGGGGCGCTGCGAGGCACTGCGGGGCGCTGCGGGAACTCGCAAAGTCAACAGCAGCCCGTTACCCGCGGCTGCGTCTTTGACGCCGTGTCGTTTGCCTTCCCCACAAAGGGTCCGCTCTGGCTGCCGGACTTGCAGTGTTTGTCCGCCCGGGGGAGCCGCGCCGAACGGCGAGGCGACGCACGGTCCCTGCCGCGTCCCCCTCGACCCTTTCTTCCTCGTCGCAACCCCCCTCCCGCTCTCCCCTCACCCACCTTTTCGGGACCGGCCCTTCCTCTCTCCCGTGTCTTCCGAACGCCGCCGCGCGTGTCACTCAAGAAGCGCAAAATTGCGAAAGCAATAGGCTGCCTCCCGAATAAGGGGGGATAGAAGTAGGTTTACAAACGGCGGTCTCTCATCCCTTTGCCCCACCGCGCTTGGCTGTACAATCAACAGGGTGTGGCGGGGGTGGGCGGGGTCCGCCGCCCTACAACACCCAATCTGACTGATGAAAGAGGCGCCTCGGGCCGGGGAGGGTGACAGGTGGCAGATCCGCCTGAGCGGGCCGGGCTGCCGGCGCTGCGCGCGGCTGAGCTCGTCTCGGGCAATCAGCAGCGCGCGGCCGGGACGACGCGAGGACCTGTCGAAGAAAGAGCAGAGCCGGGCGCGTAGCTTGCTGAAGGGTATCGTGTGTAACTGTATCACGTGATCCAGAAAGGTCGCCTTGCGGGGGCAAGGCGGGGGCGGTTTTAATACATCAGATTTCGGCTCGGAGTGTTTTTCGTTGTGTGCGCCCCACATATAAGGCCTCGGCGGAGGGTCCGCCCCGCTTGTTGACATGGGGTCTAGGGGGCTCTAGCCCGCTTCAGCTCGAATTACGTTCCGCACACACATCAGTCATGGCGGCACACGGCAGCCGCGAGTGAGCGAGAGAGTGCGAGGAAAAGGAGGCGGAGAGAGCGAGAGAACCATTAAGGGGAAGGAAAAAATGAGACGGGGAAAAAAAAGTTTCGTGGTCTGCCTCCTGCCTCTTCCTCGGTGCGGGCTTCCTTAATAAATTGCGAAGACGAGGAGGCCGGGGTCGGATTTTCACCTTAGGGTCGGGGTCGGCCAGGGTCGGGGGGGACGCGGGCGGGAGAGCAGGGAGTATAGTAGGCCGGAGAAAGGGGTTGGTTGGTCGGAGGGACGAGGAAGGCGCCATCGGGCCCGTCTCGCAAAGTAATGGGGCCGAGGCCTGGGTAGCGTCACTGCTTAGCAGACCGCCCCGCCCGGCGCCCGGCCACTCCGCGTCGTCCACCCGCACCTACCCGCACCCCCCGCGCCACCTCCTCCAGCACGCCTCCGCGCCGCCTTCATTCCGCACGCGGAATTACGCCATTCATTCCCTAACACCTCCGGCTCGGCTCGCTGCGCGTTGGGTTCGCCGCCGCCGCCGTCGGGACTGCGGGGCCGGCGACTCCATCGGTCGAGGACGGCCACCCCGGCGGCCACCCCGGCGGCCACCCCAGGCGTGAGACTGCTCCCCAGCACACGTGTTGCCGCGTGGGCGTGTGCGTGAAGCGTCCCGCCGCCATCCAATCATGGTGTCGAGGTGGGCGTGTGTGGGGAGCAAGGGGCGGCGGGGGCTGCGACCGAAAGAGCGGCAGAGCAGAGGGGGAAAGGAGCGGAAGGAAGAATAGAGCGAGGGAGGAAGGTGTAGTGCGTGCGAATAAAGTCCGCGGAGGAGAAGAAGAATGCGTGGAAGGATGTAAGGAGGAAACGGAGACAGCGGGCTGGCCAGTGATTGATCATGGGACAGAGGACGACCGGACCCGGATCGGGCCGGACGGCGAGCGGGGCCGGTGAGCCGCTGCTGGTGAGGGTGCTGGGTGCTGGTGACGGCGCGCTGGTGATGTGGCGAGGGGAGGCAGGGGGTGTCATTGCAATAGGCTCGTCAGCTGGCGCGCGGCCGCCCCCACCAGGCGGGCCCCGACGCCCCCACCCCCACCCTCGCGGCGGCGGGGTGGCCGGGCCCCGCCGGCACAGTGCGCGCCGCGCGCCCCTCCGGACAAGAGCCCCAACGGCCCGGACCTGCCCGCCTCGCCGCGCCAATCTCCGACCCCGCCGCCTACCGGCATGCTGTGAGCACAGCGCAGCACAGCGCAGCACAGCGGAGCCGCCAGCATGGAGGAACAGCCAGCGCCGCCCGCACCGGAAGTGCCGACCGTCACCAGTGACGTGCAGAACGAGGAAGTCGCAGCCGCCGTGCCGCCGGAAGTGCCGACCGTCGGCGACGTGCAGGACGCGTCGCCGACACAGGAGACGGCCGCGCCGACCGTCGGCGACGTGCAGGGCGCGCCGCTGACGCAGGTGACCGTCACGTCGCCGACGCTGCCGCACATCACCTCGGCGGAGGATGCCGTCGACGCCAACAAGGCCGCCGAGCCGGAAGCAGAGCAGGGCGCCGAGGGCGACCCACGCCAGAGGAAGTCGTCGACATCGTCCACGTCCTCGCTTGGCGGGGCGTGGGGCGGGCTGGGCCCGGCCTGGTGGGACCCGGAGCGGTCGCGGTCCGTCACCCCCAGCGGCGGCGGCGGCGCCGGCGGCGTGCACTGCCTCGACGTGCCGCCCACCGGGGGCTGGGCTGCCCGCCGCTGGTCCGGCGGCGAGTCGCCGTCCCCGAGGGGCGCCCTCAGCCCGCTTCTGGAGCTGCGCCGCCCGCACTGCACGCTCCAGTGCGCCACCTGCAACGCCATCCTGGAGGAGAAGTACAAGCACACCCGCTCCAGGAGGGCGTCCTTCGTCAAGGAGGCAGGCAAGTAGAAGCTGCGCGGTGCAGCGCGCGTCGTGCAGCGGGGGCGCGGCGGCGGAGGGGGTTTGTTTGGGTGAAACTCGTAAGCGTGGCAAGGTCACCTAGTGCGTGGTGTGGCAGGCGGGGGGCGGGGTGGGGTGGCGTGGCGTGGCGCACCAGCTGGGACAATCGGAAGGCCGCCGTGCCGGACCCAGTGGTGGTGGTGGAGGACGTGGCGGGGCGGGGCGGTGCAGGGCGGCGCGGGGTGGCGTAGTGTTTGCGTTGCCCCCATGCTAATGAGCTCGTTGCCGTGACGTGGCCTTGCGACCCGGAGGAGGAAAACAAAGTCGGAGGAGGTGTCCCGGTTGGGTAGGGTCCCCTCCGGGCACCGCAGTTACAGAGTTGCGGTGCGTCCCGCACAGGCTGTTGTGTGCTCTGCTGTAGAGGCGCCCCTGGACGCGTCTCCTGAATGTCATGCATTCATATCAGTCCCTCCCCCGCCTCTTGGCGCGGTGGCTGCGGCTGCCTTGCCCCACACCTGTCTCCCCTCTCACGCGCTCTAGAAGCCCTCACGGTAAATTGTACTCACGTCTTGGCGGCTCACTTTTGGTCTCTCTCCCTCTCGCTTGCTCTTTCCTGTGCTTTCTCCATCTCTGCTTTGCACATGACTTCCAAGATTTTTAACGGCCGACCTTGCAGGCCTGGAGAAGCACTCCCCAGCTGGACCATGGCCTCGTCCTACCCTTGTTTCGTCACTCCTCCTTCTCCTCC